GTTGCTCAGTCGTGTCCAACTCTTTTGCGACTCCATGGGCTATAGCCCACCAGGCTCCTCTGTCCATGGAATTCCCCAGGCAAGAATACTGGAGTAGGCTGCCATGCCTTCCTCCAAGGATCTTCCCAACCCAAGGATCAAACCTTCGTCTCATGCATTGGCAGGCGGATTCTTTACTACTGAGGCATCTTACTGTTAAAGAACACCAGCCATCTTAAGTTAAGGAATTTAGTGCTTTGCTATGCATGGGAAAGATGCAAAAGTCTGGGCTTGCTGACGTCATTCCTTGGTATGCCCTCAGCTCTCTGGGTCCAGAATCCCGTGTTTTCTCATCCCGAGTCTCCTCAGGGTGCTCCCTGGTGGTGGCTGCAGCGGTTGACTTCTAGCTGGGGAGGGGGTGCTTCCTGCCTCCATCCTGAGTTCCCTCAGGGCTTATGGTCCAGGTGGCTGTAATGTGATGGCTTGATGATTGCAGCATCCTTGTTTACCAATATGGCAGCAACATCTGTCACTCACAGATGCAGGGTTGCAATAGGCAAGTCCTCCCCACCACCAAGCCCCCTTTCTCTTGCAGGGTCCAGTCTCAGACCCCATGTCACCACAGTCCTGTCTTCGAGGGCATAAAAGACAGGCTACTTTGGACTTGTCAGTACCTGCCAGGGTCCAGGCAGAACAGCCACAGAATGCCTGACTCCCTTGTGTTACCTACACCAGGATTAAGGTTTTTTTTATCTTGGCCCAATTTATTTATTTATTTTTATTGTTTCCTGTGGCATATGGGATCACAGTTCCCCAACCAGGTATCGAACCCACAGCCCCTGCAGTGGAACACAAAGTCTTAACCACTGAACCACCAAGGAATCTTCTGAGTCAGGGGAGTTAGTATTTATCAAGAGTGCTGGGGCCAAAAAAAAAAAAAAAGTGTTGGGGCTTTCAGAAACCTGCTGGGTTCATGCCATTTATTTTGGGCCACTAAGAAGAATGGTGTCCCCCTTTTTTCCCTCTACTGAGATATAACTTACATACCATAAATTTCACCACTTAAAAGTACAGTTTGGTGGGCTCCAGTATACAGTCACCCCTCTGTATCCATGGGTTCTGTATCCATATCTGTTGGCTCCAGTATACAGTCACCCCTCTGTATCCATGGGTTCTGTATCCATATCTGTTGTATGAATTCGACTGACAGTTGACTGAAAAAAATCAAAAGAAACTATTTCCAGAAAGTTCCAAAAAGCAAAATTTGAATTTGCCAGTGGCCAGCAACTATTTACATATCATTTACATTAAACTTAAATGTCTACCCACTCCAGTACTCTTGCCTGGAGAACTCCATGAACAGAGGAGCCTAGCGGGCTGCAGTCCATGGGGTCGCCAAGAGTCAGACACGACTGAGTGATTACCACAATGCTATACTTACTTACACTGTGTTTATATAGTATCAGGTGTTATGAGTGATCTAGAGACGATTTAAAGTATACAGGAGACTGTGCATAGGTTATATTAAAATATAATACTAGCTTATTTTATGTAAGGAACTTTCGTGTGTGCTAAGTCACTTCAGTCATGTCTGACTCTTTGTGGCCCTAGGGACTGTAGCCTGCCAGGCTCCTCTGTCCATGGGAGTGTCTTAGCAAGAATACTGGAGTGGGTTGGGATTTCCTTCCCCAGGAAATCTTCCCAACCCAGGGTCTGAACCTGAGTCTCTTAGGTCTCCTGCACTGGCAGGTGGGTTCTTTACCATGAGCATCTTCAAATTTGAGGATCTTAAGAGGGCCCTGGAACTGACCCCCACCCCCTCCACCTTAGATATGGAGGGAGACTAGATTCACAAAATTGTGTGACCATTAGTATGATGTAATCCTAGGATATTACTATCCTTTTTTAATTTGTAAAAATATTTATTTATTTGGCTTTGTCGGTTCTTAGTTGCGGCATGCATGATCTTTGGTTTCAGCATGTGGGATCTAGTTCCCTGACCAGCAATTGAACTCGGGTGCCCTGCATTGGCAGCATGGAGTCTTAGCCACTGGACCACCAGGGAAGTCCCTAGCCTTCTTTTTTTTTAATTCACATTTTTGGACAAGATCAATCTCATAGACTGATTCGGAAGGTAGGACTCCTTGGGCTTCTATGGTTAAATTTAAAACATGAATGCCTCCCGAGTGCACTGTTTTAAGCTGTGTCTGGGTTGGGGGCATAAATTGAGGCTTCTGCATGCTACTTCTGTAGCCCCCTTTCTCTATAGTGCCCTTGCTTGCTAGTTAGGGGTGTGTGTACATCTGGCTGTGGGATGAATTCTAGGGGAAATACTGATGGGCTGAACACCCTCGGTGAGACAGACTGACATATGGAGACGCCTTTATAAACCAGTCCTCACTTACACAAACATGATTAAGAAAAAAAAAAGAGGCCTGAATGTGGTTTGGCCTTTCTGAATGGAAAAGTGGATATAAATCTTATTTCAGGTCCTCTAGTTACCGGAATCTGGAGTCTCCCAAATGTACTCCTTCATCTGTCAGCCGCCCAGGTCAAGGCATTTTGGTGGCTCTGAAAGGAAAGGGAGAAGAAAGGACCAGTGAGGGCGGAGGTCTCAGCTGGAAATGCTCCCAAATGGCCATAGTTGTGGAGCAGGGAACTATAGCTTCTTTGGGCCCAGGGCTCCACAGAGGTTCCTTAGGTAAGCTGATGAAGGCACGGAAGTGCCTGCTGTGTGCAGCAACTCCATTTACTGCAGTCTTTACAACCACCTTGAGGGATGCGGGGATCATTCATTCATTCCACCAACATATATTGAGTCCATACCGTGAGCCCGATGCTGTCTGTACACACGAGAACACCAAGGCATGGAGAGGCTAAGCAATTTGCCAAAATGAGGCCAGATGCAGTTGCTTAAGGAGTGTGGCTTGGGGGTCAGAAAGGAATGAATATGGGTCCTGGTTCCACTTCATTCTCCCCCTTGTGATGGTGGCCAAGTTTGACCTCTCTGGTCCTCAGCTTTTTTTGGATAGGGGGTAGTACTAGTATGTATCTCACAGGACTGATTTGAGAATTGAAAGAGATTATTATCTAGGGTGGATTGAAGTTGATACCTGGCACACTGTGTCTCCCGCACTGCAGGCAGACTACCATCTGAGCCACCAGGGAAGCCATCCCCTGGAGAAGGAAATGACGACCCACTCCAGTATTCTTGCCTGGAAAGTCCCATAGACGGAGGAGCCTGGCAGGCTGCAGTCCATGGGGTCACAAAGAGTCGGACAAGACTAAGTGACTTCACTTTCTTTCCGGCACACTGAGCACTCAGTGTGAGTTAGCTTTATTGTTATTATTCCCTGAGGTCACACACAGAATCAGGATTAGAACCAGCTTTTCCCTTCTGTCGCCTGTGCCACCTCCAGAACCACTGACCTCATTGAAAAGAAAGTATTACTCGCTCCGTCTTTGTGACCCCATTGAATATATAGACTACCATGCTCCTCTGGCCATGGGATTCTCCAGGCAAGGATACTGGAGTGGGTTGCCATTCTCTTTTCCAGGGGATCTTCCCCACCCAGGGATCAAACTTGGGTCTGCTGCATGGCAGGCAGACTCTTTACCGTTTCAGCCACCAGGGAAGCCTTGGCCTCATTAAATCCTCCTGAATCTTTGAGGATCTGCAAAGGCCTTTCCCACTCAAGCTACCCCACAGTGATGGCCACCCTGGGGGAAGGGTGGGTGGGAAATGGTCCTCTCCCCCACTGCCCCTGTGGGGAAAGGTAGCTATCCAGTGCATCTGGGCCTTTTGACCGACTCTTTCCTTCTCTAGGACTATTCTAGAATCCCTGGAAAAGGCTGGGAACATGGGCTTCATGCAGACTCATCCCTGTGAGCTGGGGACTGTCATCTGTCAAACGAGGTCAGCTCAGAGCTGGCTTCACTTGCTCACAAGTGCTGACATGCTTGGGGGGGCAGCCACTTCCCGCCAAGGACCACCTTCTCCCAGTACAAGATGCACGAGTCTCACGGGGCCAAGAAGACCCTACTCCTTCAGTTGTGTCCCTGCGGAGGAAACAAGTGCCTGCAGGGTCTCGGTGCATCACGGGCAGAGTACCCTAACTGTGAGTTTGTTAAGAGGGTTTGCCTCGGAGAAAGCGATTTCAGAACAGCCCTGAGCGCAGAACTCTTGCAGGGGGAGACCTGGGAAACTCCTCTTTCCTTCAAACCACGCCAGGCGGGCCGCAGGGCAATTTGTCTTCCAAGGGTCCCAGGTCCAAACCTGGTCGGATTGGGTGGGATCTATGGTGGTTGGGGGTGGGGTGGTGGCCGGGGAGTCCCCTCCCCACAACAGAGAAGGGCGTCCTCAGGGCCACCGCTGCACATGTGTCCCCATCAACCGCGGCATGCGCAGGGCAGTGTAGAAACCGCTAGGAAAGGGAGGCGCGCACCTCGCGAGCTGCCCGGCTCCTCACCGCGTCCGCATCCGTGCCTCCGGGGACCGGTAAGACAGATGCTGGGGGCTGCGTCCGGCCCCTCGGCTCAGCCGAGCCCTGCCCCGGACGGTACCCGCCCGGCGCGCCCAACTCTCCGGCGCCGCACCTCGGCGAAGACCGCCACCCGCCTCTGCGCCCCTGGACGCGCGAGCGGAGGCACCTCGGCTGCAAGCAGAGCCGGAACTTGGGGGCGCGGTGAGTGGGGGCGGGGCGCCGGCGGGCGGTGGCCCTAGCCGGGTGCCTGATTCTGGCACTAGAAGTCCTTCCCTGTCTCCTCGAATCGGGACTGTTAGATCCTCCCAGCTCTCCGGGCTGGCTATGTCCTGGACACGACAGGTCCAGACCCTGGACACCTCCCTCATCCGCGCTCGGGACGCGGTTTCTCCTTGCCTCTTTCTGGGGTTGAGGCCCGCGGGTTGGGCATTGCGGCGAGCGGGCCCCATGGTTTCGTTTGCTTTCTTACAGGCCCCCTCGGCCCACCTGGGCTTTGGTCCCGCCGCAGAGAGGCAAGAAGCTCCCGGAAGAGTCGCGATGGCCGTGGAGTCCGGTCGTCGGCTCCGGGAGCGCGCCCCAGGAGGAGATGAGGGGCGCCCCGCTGTCCGCACTGTCGCAGAGGACGCACCAGTCCCCGCGAGCGGCAGCGGTGGAGGGGCCGGGACCCGGTGCCTAGGGGGGACCGGCTTCACCGCGGAGCGCGCTTGGTGCCCCGGCAGCGCGCCCCGCCGCAGAACCCGACTTTTCTGTCCTAGAGCACACCCCACCCCGACGTGACCCGGGTGGTTGCAGCGCCCGCCCCGTTCCCTGCGGGCTGGCGCCGCCCCCACCCGCCCCTCCGCGGCCTACCTGCAGCCCTTTTCCTTCTCAGGTGGAGGAGAGAGCCGGCTCTGTCCGTCTGGAGCCACACGACTCCATGGATCTGGGGCCAGAGAGACGCGTCTCACGCCCCGGGGCCGGGTGGTTCGCGCAGGAGGAAGGACCGCGAAGCGGGCTCTGCCTGGGCTTGCCTGGGCTTGTTCAGAGCCAGGCTGCTTCCCTCAGTGGCCGCGCCGATCCCGGGTGATTTCGAGATTTTGCCGGAGCCTTGGAGTCAGACCCCAGGGAGGAGGAGGCCGGAAGCCTGCACCATCCATTCGCCGTCCAAGGATGGAACCCAGGTAAATGCTTGCGTTCTCGGTCGGTGTGAAAGTTGGTAAAGGAGGCAGGAGCTAGAACAAGTACTTTAACAACAATAAAGAGAAGCCTGTTGAATTGTGTGGCCTCAGAGTAGTAAGAAGAACGTCCAAGAAACAACAAAATGCTCTTTGATTTCATAATCTTTGGAAAGAAAGGATTTTTTTTTTTTTGCATGGCTGATTATTTTTCTCCTCCTCAGTCTCCGTCGTGGGTGCAGGAGGGCTCACTGGTCTAAGAGTGGAAATGGGGACTCTGGTTTCACTGCCGCTGCTCAGCCACGTGCTATCTGAGTAAATACCTTGACTTCCTGAAAGTGGGGGCATTGAAGCTAGGTCCCCAAGGTGGTTGGGACAAGTGCTTCAGTCACTAAAGAAGTGTTATATAAGAAGTCCAGCCCGCCAGTTCGTGTTTTAGAGGAACAGGAGAAGGGGTTTCAAACTTCCAGTCCCAGAGGGCTGTCCTCCTTCTCCTCCTCCGCATCCCAGTCTCTCTTTGCCCCCGCCCCCCAGCTGATGGGAACAGTGTCTGGGCTTGGGGGCCGCAGGTCAGGATGGCACTTCCGGGTCAGGATGGCACTTCCGGTAGTTCATCTTCCTGGTAGGCACAGGAGCCATGCGTGGACGCCCGCTCCTTGGTTTAGGTGGATGAGGCTGGCACATCATAAGGGACCTATGCCAGTGCCTTCACGGTTTCTGTGCCAGTGGGGCACAGAGCAAAGGCACAGCATGCTGGGCAGACAGACCCAGGGCGCTAGCGCCCCCAGTCCCCCATACACCCTCGCTGGTCTCCTGCAGCAGGAAGTGGCTGGGAGTCCTGGATAAGCGCCTGTGGAGCTCTTCTGGCCAGAAATCATGTCAGGAAGGCAAAATGGCTCCCTGTGAGGTATGTGGGGCCAGTTCTGCCTCTGCCTCCAGGTCTGAGAGAACTCTGCGACAATGGCCACTCCCCTGAGCCTCTGTATGGCAGTGGCTGAGATTGGGGGGCGCTAGGCAGGAGGGGGTTCTCCTGTACTCCCTGTTATTCCCCTTGAAGATCCATCCAAGAGCAGAGAGCTGATGGGGACATTGGCTGGTGCCCTGACGCCACTGGCATCAGCTGCCCTGTGGGTTAGTGGCTTGCTTCCTGAGCTTCCCAAGCTTGAGGATTGGCCGAGACTGTCCTGCTCCACCTGCCAATCCATCTTTCTCTCTGGCCTCAAGAATCCCTTGGTTACCAGCCTGGGTGTCCCCAAGAACTGCACTTTTATGCCTCACCCCTTGGCATCCATCACAAATCAATGATGCAAAACCTAGACTGGCTTCGGGTCCTTCTCTTCACCGCAAGCCAGGCAGCACTTCCCATTGATGGTACAAGCAGGTCTTCCCCAGCCCTGAACCTGTCCTTGTGACTGGCTTCTGGGCTAGCAGGTACAGGAAAATGAAAGTGAAGTCGCTCAGTCGCGTCTGACTCTTTGTGATCCCACACACTATAGTCTACCGGGCTTCTAAGTCCGTGGGATTTTCCAGGCAAGAGTATTGGAGTGGGTTGCCACTTCCATGCACAAAATGCTGACCCTGGTTAGAGGCTGCTCAGCCTTGGCTTAGAGGAGGTCAGACGTAGGCAACAAGAAAATGACTAGTCAGCACTCATTCATTCAGTCATTCAGCAAATATTCATTGAATCCTTGCTGTGTGCCTGTATCATCTAACACTGAGAATACCCCCGTGAGCCAGACAGGCAGACCCTTGCTTTAGTGGTGCAGCTGATCTGATGAGGAAAGAGGCAATAAATGAACAAAATAAATATTTCAAATAATGTTAGGTCATGATAAATGCTGTGAAGGAGTTGGAGGGTGAAGTGCTGGGGAGGGGTGTTATTTTGCTGGGAGGGAGAGGTTAAGTCAGTGAAGTGAGGGGAGGGTTTTTTTAGCTGGGAGGGTCAGCAAGTGCAAAGGTGCATTTGAGAAATTTACAAGGAAGCCAGAGAGGTTGGAGGTGAGTGGTAACTGTTTAAGTTGGGCAGGGCTGAGAATTTAGAATGAAATCCAAAGGGTGATATTTCCCAGCCTTTGGAGGGTTTTGAGCTACAAATGTCATGATCTTATGTTTTAAAACAATGGCTCAGGCTGCTGTGTAGAGAACATACACAGGAGTGGCAGCTAGGGAGTACCTACTGGAGGCGATTCCTTGGCCGTACTAGAGACCACAGTAACTACAGGAGGCTTGTAGCCCAGAGGGGATAGTGACCATAGTTGTTGAAGGTAGAGCCAGTTGAGTCTGTAGCTGGATGGACAAGGGAGGATGGGCAGGGGAAAAAAGAGACAAAGATGACTCTGAAGTTTGTGGCTTGCACAGATGGGTGAATCATTTATGGAGGCGGGGAAAACGGGGAGGCATGGGCTACAAGGTTCTGATCTGGCTACAGTAGGTCATCTGTTAGACACCCAAGTGGAGATGGTATTAGATGCTGGCAGCTGGAGCATAGGGGAGAGTTTAGGGCAGGGGAATCTTAGTGACTACCTAATACCTTGAGACTGGGCGAGGTTGCTGAGAGCGGGGTTTGGAGGGGCTTGGGGGAGAGCTTGAGAAGGCGGAAAGGAGTCACCTTGGGAGATGGAGAGAGCATGGACAAGGGAAGTGACAGAACAATATGGCACGTGCTTAATAAATGTTTGTTGGGTGGATGGACACATGAAATGTTGTAGGACTGCTGTGCAGTGCTGAGTACCTAAAGGCCCAGCGGGGGATGTAATAGGATTTTAAATGCACTGGGATTTCTGGGACTCACAAGGCTGGGGAGATGTCAAGGCAGTCTGTGGAAGTGGAAGGGATATGATCTGAGCCTGGGAGAGCAACCAGGATTCTGCGGAGAGGGAAAAGTAAATTGAAGGGAATGGCATTAGCAAAATTAGGAATACATGAGGCATGTTTAGGAGTCTGATGTATTTATGGCATAGTTAGACTGGGTGGAGAGTTCTTAATGCAGGGGGGGGTGGGTGGGGTGGAATTGGCTGAAGCTCTTTGCCCCCCAGGGGTGGCTGGAGGACAGAGAGCCTGTCCCCATGTCCTGTCTTTGTCCCCAGACCTCCACCTGGTCAGATCTTGGGTAACCAGGCCCACTCCCGCCACCTGGCCACAGAGTGCCTGACAGTACCTCCTCTGGTCTCTGTGAGGTAGGTAGGTCGAGGAGATCAGGATCTTCATTTTTGTTGTTTTGATATCAATCTTGGCAATATTTTTTTTGGTTTCGTTTTGTTTTGATTGAAGTATAGCTGGTTTACAATGTTGTGGTAGTTTCAAGTGTACAGCAAAGCGATTCAGTTGTACATATATATATGTGTTTTCAGATTCTTTTCCCTTATAGGTTATCACAAAACATTAAGTACAGTTGCCTGTGCTATGCGGTAGGTCCTTGGTGGTTATCTATTATGATCTTCAGTTTGGGGTTTTTTTGGCTGTCCCGGGTCTTTGTTGTTGCTCGAGTGCTTTCTCTAATCGCAGAGTGGGGACCGCTCTCTAGTTGCTGTGCTCTGGCCCCTCACTGCAGTGGTGAAACACAGGCTTTAGGATGCCTGGGCTTCAGTCGTTGCAGCTCCCAGGCTCTCGGGTGTGGCTCAGTAGTTGTGGTGCACAGGCTTAGTTGCTCCGAAGCATGTGGAATCGTCCTGGACCAGGAATCGAAACTGTGCCCCCTGCACTGGCACAGGGATTCCTTACACTGAGCCACCAGGGAATCCCTGGTCATCATTTTTAATCACTGAAAAGCGACAAGGACCTCGGAATTTAGGCCCAGGGAGTGGTGTGGGTGTAGGCTCCCCCAGAGCTCTCTAGCAGTTCCTGCCGAGTTTACACTGGTGGCCTTTGCTGTCGGGGTTGCCTGTGTCTCGCAGGAAGAAGACAGAGACACCTTGAGGAAGAGAGTCCTGGCTCCGGCACCCATAGATCAGCATCATTTTGTTTTAGGCTGTCTGACAACCAGGGCTGATGTGTGTGTTAGTCAGGAGGACTGGCAAGAACTACTTTAAATCCCAGTTTCAATGACAAAAGAGTCCTTAGGAGGGAAAGCTTTGGGTGGCTGACCTTGGGTGTCCGCTCCCAATCAGGATCTGGCTGTAGATGCCATGCAAACGCTGCCAGATGCTGCAGTCCATTAGCAGGTATGGATCTTTTCTCTCCTTTCAAAGGCACCTCAGTTCCCCCTGGGACCCCAAAGTCCATGAAGCTCATGGCTTTTTAGTCAAGGACTTGCCTGCCAGACCCGTCTCTGTCACTGGCTGCATGAATCTGCAAATACGGCTTAACCTGCCTGGGTTTTGGTTCCTCATCTGTAAAGCTGGGCCTGTGTTAGAACCTACTTCACAGTGTAAAATCAATTAGATAATGTACATCAACCATGCAACAGGACACTGTGGTGGCTGTTAGGTATCAAGCATGTTTAATACTTTGACTAAATCAGAAGAAACTTCCTCTACACTGATAGAATGTAGTGAGGTTTTTGAAGTTTTTTGTTTGTTAGATTTTTGCATTGCAGATATCCCTTTCTTCCCCTTCCCCAAAATTGCTGCTTTCCTATTTGTTGTTGTTAACTAGTGTTGCAGATATTTAAGTGGAGCAGAATGC